GAGGTTCATTGTTTTTTTTTCAATTTTCTTCATGGATGGCAGAAAAATATCATCAAGATGCATCGAAATATTGGAACACATTTTATCTTCATAATGAAAACAAATTTTTTAAAGATCGTCAGTGGTTAAAAATAGAATTTCCTGAACTTCACAATGCTACGAAGTCAAATGTTTGTATTTCTACTATTTTTTAATTTATGTTTATTTATTTATTTATTTATTTATTGTAATTACGCTTTTCTATAGGTTGGTTCAAAAAAAATATTTGAAATAGGATGTGGAGCCGGAAATACAATGTTTCCATTATTATCTGTAAATCAAAATCCTGAATTATTTATTTATGCCTGTGATTTTGCTATCAATGCTGTTGAAGTTGTGAAGGTAATCTTAAAGTATATTTGTAATAGCACTCAGCTTTCTTTAGCCATTTGGTACAAACAAATTTTTTTATTATTAGAATAATCCGGTATATGATCCTCAAAAAAGTAGTGCATTTGTTTGGGATTTGACCAGTGGAAAGATACCAGAAAACATTGAACCTGGTTCACTTGATATTGTAGTATTAATATTTGTTATGTCAGCTATACATCCGCAGTGTTGGAGTCAAGCTGTAGAAAATGTTTACAAGGTTTTATATATTCATTTGATTTATAATTTGCTTCGTGTTAAGTTATTAACGAAATTATTATTATATAGATGCTTAAACCCGGTGGATTGGTTCTTTTTAGAGGTATTTGATTGAGTTTATCGTCTGCAACATAAGGAATTTTTGCTAGCAAGATGAAAAAAAGTATGTTATGCTCATTTTGCCAGCAAATATCCATATCAATTAGCCGTAGCACCTAAAATATTAATGTGGGCTTATATAGATTATGGTAGGTATGATATGGTGCAGCTAAGATTTAAAGAAGGTCGTATGCTATCCGATAACTTTTATGTCCGAGGTGACGGTACCCGTGTGTATTTCTTTACTTCAGGTAAGTTCTATAAATGTTTTTACAATTAAGCTATGGTGCACACAGTCAAATACATCAAACTGTAATTGAAGAAAAAAAAATTATATAATTTAAATATATTATAAAAAAATACATAGTTAATAATTTTTGGAGAAGGCTATCAAGTAGAGCTCTGCAAGCGCTGGCACGTGCCTATTAAAACATAGTACCAGGAACAGGTATGTTTTATTAATACGTGTGCAGAGCTCTACTGTCAAGCTATACGACTTGTTTTAAGTTCTTTTGTCGCAGCGATGTTGAGATTTGGGCCTTTTTTTAAACTTATTAAACATACTAAAATCCACATACACTTTTTTTATTAAAAGCTTTGTAATTTACCGCTATAGCGATGTATCGCTACCCCTGGGTCTACGTCAAAATTCTGAAAGCCAAAATCCCGAAAATCAAAATCCCAAAAAAAATTGTCGCGTCGCGTGAAGTCAGGGTTTCAATATTCAAACCCCGCTTATGATTAGTAAGATAGATCACTAATCATAGGTGAGTTTGAATATTGGAACCCCGACTTCACACGACGTGACCATTAAGTTTCAGGGAGTAGAGATACATCACGATGGCAGTAAATTACAAAATTCTTTTATGAATATGTCTAATCTTAAAAAAAAAAAAATTGCTCAAAATTTTTTATTAAAATAAGTTCAATTCTCAACATTAGCATCTTAAAAATTATTAAAATTTTAAAACCTTTTTGTATCTCAGATTGCATGCACCATAGTTAAAGATAAATTAGATCATATTTCTTTAACTCAAAAATGCCATGTTTATATTGTAATTAGATGAAATACAAACAATATGGGGCACAAAATTTACAATTGAACAGAATGCTGTAGATCGTAGATTAATTGTTAATAGACATCGTAGACTTCAAATGTATCGAATTTGGCTACAAGGTAAGTTTAGAAAAATTGAAGGTCCGAACCCTTTATAATTTGGCATTTTAAGCGATAGTTTTTAATTAAAGTGGAAATTATTGAGAGGGAATTATTTGTTTTTTTTTTATGACGTATAATAACAAAGGATTTAATAAAAAATAATTGCCTTAAGGCAACATAAGAATATTTAACATATGATTATATATATATATAATGGCAGACTTAACGTCAGTATTAACGATAAAAATTTATAAATCATTTTTTTTTGTCACATACTGTAATACCTAATCCACAAATGTCCGTCAATTCTTTAAATCAACCCAAACCATTCCCCACTTGGTTTTATCAACACCGCTCCCATCAATTTCATAGACCCCTTGAATCCATATTGCCAATCCATCGACTTCACTTTTCATGACACCATAACCACAAATAGAGAATTGCGTGGTATCAGAAATTCCCAAAAATGTTAATTCGTTTAAATCAGGAGACGTGCTTAAAGATGATGGTGATATCCCAACGTAAATATTATAATATGCAAATGTATTTTCTAAACTTGTAACAGCTGGTGTTAGTGCTAGTTGTTTCTCGACAGAAGCATCTAAAAGATCGGCATTAGGATTAATGTGTGTATGTGTAGAGGATTCTTGGTTAGGAGTGGACGTAACGTTCCATCTGATTATCCCCCACACAAAAATAACTTCATCACTTAATTCATCTAGATCAGGCGTATCGAACATCTTTCTTTCAAACTCAACGTTTTGGACCATTTCTATATTTATATCAGGCTTTGTATTTTGAGGTATGATAGAAAGTTCACCAACATATCCCAATAATTGTCTAGTGATATTATGAGAGGTGGGGTTTTTTAAATTGTATAGAGAAATTCCAAGTTCCTGAATCACTAAATCGTTTCTAATTGTAACATCTCCGCTTAAGGTACTTGAAGAACTATCTCTAAAAATTGAACGAGTCAAAATGAATTCTGATGTGATCCACCCATTATTCCTTGAAATCGTGTTTGTAGGAGTAAATGATTGTGATGTAACGGCACCAAAATCAGAAACCAATTCAATTTGAACTGTATTTGCAGAGTCCGGTACAAGAGCTCCTTCAGACGTAATAAAACTTTGACCTTGAGTAGAGTTATTAATTGAGTTCGATTCTATTTTTATATACGGGGATAATTTTAGATCTGTTTGCTTTGGGAGATATGTGATACTTAGTTTTAATGGTGTTTGTAGAGGGAATTGTAGAGAAAGTGTGTATAGTGGAAGTTTAGCAAATGGCAAAATGAATTGACCACTAGAATTTATAGCTAATGAGGTGCCACCGTTATAGGCTGTGTCGAAAGTATAATCCCACCAGAGAGAGTTTGGTCGTGGGAGTTGAAATGTTAAATTGTTTGGACTAATAGACTGATGACTTAAGTTAAACCAATCTTGAAGTCCTATCATTGACTATAAAAAATGGGTAGATAAATATTAACATGGGATTGGGTCAATAGAATCAAGCAAATTTTTAAAATTTTGTTTAATATTTTGAACAAAAATAGCAAGAACTTAAAATCAAATTTGATAAAGAATTTTTTTAAATTAATTTTATAAACTTATACTGTAGAATTAATTTAAAAAACCTCTTTTATCAAATTGATTAAAAACTTCTTTTATCAAATTTAAGCTCTTGTTATCTTTGTTTAAAATTGTTTAAAAAAATTTGCTTGATTTATATTGACTCACCTTACATAGCGGTTAATAGAATAAATAAGCAATAATTACATACTTTTCCTTCAATGAAGAATTGATGCCCAGTTCCTAGAGAAAAATTTGTGTAAAAGCTTGTACTTTTAGGGACACATTTTGGAACAACATAATCAGCCACACCAGGACGCCTGTCTAGTAAACACATAGCCTTTAACATTTCGCTTTTATTAATCCACCGTGTAATCCCAATCGAATAACCATATAAAAACTTACTAACGACACCAGGAGGACTACCAACCCAAAACAGGCGATCATTAGCAAAAGTATCACCCGACACTTCAAAGAAAGTCCAAGCTGGAGCAAAGATTCCTGCCGAAGTTTTTCCATGTTTAATAGCTTCTAGTGCCTGCTCGTATCCATAACAATAATATTTTCAATAATAAACATCGACAAATTAGTAAGTCAATCAAAGGCCATTAAACTTAAAAAAAAGATTAAGAAATTTATAGATTGAATCACCAAAAAAGTATTAAATCCACCACCTCCATAGGTTCCACGCCCATAAGTATCAATACCAGTATAAACATCACGGCTTCTTTGGCCAGCTGCCATAGCAGAAAATGTAGGACCATTTTTATCATACCAATAATTGGTAAATAACCCATCACACACATTGAAAAAAGAAATGTTTTTATCATTTAATATATTCTGATATTTTATTTGTCCTGCTGTTGTTACAGAATCATACCTATTAATTAGAAAAGTTTGAATCTTGTAAACAATGATATTGCTAAAAAATATACCATAAAATTCTCAAACTAACGGCATCTTCGCGTTATTTCGAATATACCCATGGGCGTTGTTTTGAATTAATAGATCAATATTTCATCATGATTGACTGACTGACATAATAAAAATTGTCCGCACAAGTATTTTATTATGAAAGTTAAAAAACATACGAGCAGAATTATTATTAAAATGCACGTTAATCCGGGACGCACATTGGCGTTATTTTAAACAAACTATTATTTCTAAATAATGCCCATGTCCATTATTTTGAGAATTTACGGTAATAAAAAATAAATGATATAATTTAAAAATCATTACCAAATAACCAAGGAATTAGGCACATTTTTATGCATTTCTTGAGTTAAATATTTCAACCATTGAATTAGTTGTCGTGCAGTCCTTTCTCCTCCAAGCAAATTAGATTCAATGTTAATAAACCACCCATCAAATTTATAATAAATAGCCATTTGAACTACGTTATGTTTAAAAGCAAATAAAATATTAGTTAAAAAAGGTTGAAAAAAAATAAAAATAGATAAAAAATAAAAATAAAGTAAACACACACCAAATTTATCAGCAAAAAACGGGTTAAAACCATCCTTATTTATCTGACCATCCGGTCCACGTACTAATAATTCCATGTCATTAGAACCCGATGCGCCTTCTGTAATAAAATTTCCAAGTACCCTTGTGCCATTTCTATGAGCCGCATTAACCCACATTGTAGGCGGGATTTCAACACGATGATGAGAAAAACTTATAATTTTTTTTTTGTGTACATATATATACATGAGAATAATTATAATTATCGAAAAAAGATTTTATAAAAATATAAGAACTCACTAAACAAATGAATCCACAAATTGCCAATATTGAATTCGATATTGACCAAATTTGAAGTAATTATGAAATTCTGTAATCAATATATAAAAAATTTTACTAAGTATAAATAAAATCTTTAATAAATTATCGTTTACCTTCAAAGTTATCATTAATAACATTGATTCTTAAATCTCTTTTATGTTGTTCGTCCGCAGACTTCGTTCTTCTCCACTCAGGTCGTTGCTTAAGTGTCACTCGAGAAACATTAATATCATCGTTACCTGGAGCCCAGGTAATTAAGTCGGATAATTTCTCAAAAAATATAAACCTTTTTTTAAATTCATTATTTGAATCTTGTTTAAGTTTTAACATTTTTTTGTTTTTTTAAAAAGACAAAAAAAAAAGTATTTGAGATCTGCAATTGGGTCTTATCGTTATTTAACAAAATCCCGACAAGTTATCCCGCATTAGGTTAGGGTTAGTGTTAGTTCCGGTCAATTTTTGTAGGAAAATGATAAAGACCCGTAATGGTGCGTACCGATACATCAATCAACGTTAAGACATTAAGTATTCGTGACTACATATCGATATCATATAAAATCTTATAATTCGGCTTTTTCCGACCTTATAAGTAGTGTTCAATGAATTGACTGACACCGCTTGCATTAAGTTGGGATTAGGTTAGTATTAGAAGCCTGATCCGGCCAAAAAATAAGAAGTCCGGATATTCATTCGTTCAAATGTTTAGATACCCGATATCGATCAAATTTTTCATTGTATATACGAGTGCTGCCTGTCATCATACAGTTTGTTCCCTTTGTGCTTCGAACCTAATATACCCCCGAAACAAAAATACATCACTGGGTTTGAATTTACATAAATGCAGCTAATGTCACGGGCTAAAACAAAAGATCTACAAAATTAGGCACAGCAAACCCGTGATCGAAGCAATAAATCCAAGAAATAC